AGTCTCAGACCCCCTCAACCCCCCCCCACCCTAGTTGACCGCCTGTGACATGTTCCTGTTTGAACCAAACTCCGTCTTTAGTTCCCTGGGCCGCTCGAAGGCTCTTTTTCTCCGCACGCCCTCGGAGCCTCCGGGAAGCCAGACCAGCGCGCAAATCAGGACGCGCATATCCTCGAGCGCCGCGAGCAGTGAGGCGTGTGAGGCGAGTGGGGCGGAGAACAGAGTTCCGCTTTGTGCGTGTGCTTGTGGGTGTGACTGCATGCGTAATCATGGAAATGCGCACGAATGGCAATAATACAACAAAACACGGTAATACGCGGGTGAACAACAATTTAGCTTTATGCAAAAGACAACAAATATATGAGGCCTACACACATATATATATATATATATATTTATCTATATATATATATGTATGCATGCATGTATATATATATATATATATATGTATACACATGTTTCCACTTGACACATCACCCTTTAAAGGGGACTCTGACAACATATGCCTAAAAGGTGGCATTTACAGGGACAAGGAGCGAGGCGCTGTTCAAGCGCCTGCGGACCTGTTACCGTAGAATCCTCGCCTTGGGGAGAGGGGCCGGCGTGACTGTCGTCCTATCTGATTGCTTCCATTTGCTGTGATACGCCCCCTGGAAAACTAACAAATGTCCAAAGCAAATGGAAGCTGCATAGCTGGTGTTCTTTTGCTGGGCTGTCCGTTTTCAGATCCCCTGCTAAAAGCCACTAACGTTCCGGGTTAAATGGAAACTATTACTAAACCAACTAAAAGGGCGAGAAAAACAAAGGGGATGGCTGGGAACCACTGTTTCGACAAATAGATAGAACTGAGAAATCATGATGAGAACCAACTCAAACCGGCGCCGCATGTTCAACCAAGCTGACCCCAAGGATGCGTATCAAATATTCATGTTTGCAAAAGCTAAGTGGATTTCAGGATTTCTACGAGGTCTCAGTCTCCAACTGGTTATTCGCTCCTGAGAGCCCGGACAATTTAAGACCTTCTCGCTGAAAAAAGAACAGCCCCCCACTTCAAACGAGCCCTGTGCCTGTGTCAAAATATGGATTTGGTGCCAAAAATGGGCGGTTCCCCTAACACCCACCAAAACAACGCTTCCCCTTTTTTGATAGTTTTCAGAAACAACTAAAAGGACACAAAGTGGCTCCAACCTTTTTGCAATGAACTTTTTGGAACAAAAATGGTCCAACATGTACGGCCCCCACGGGAAGCCGTTGCCACCCCGGTTTCAGCGCGCCCCAGGCTTTGTCCCCCCAAAACGGAGCCGACCGAAGCGCCCAGGCTTCACCGAGCGAGGCCCAGGCCCACCCGGCGAAGAAGCCGCGGTGCCAGACCGAGTTGAAGGCGCGCTCCTTCGGGTCCTCAAGCGGACGGGATACGAAGCGGACGGTGATCTGAGAAAAAAGACATGCGCAACAAATCCTCTTGGGGAGAGGGGCCTTTTGTTGCAACCGAAGGCCGGCGGATTGACAGCCTCCATTTGATACGCCCCCCCCTGTGGTGATATGTTCCAGTAGTGATATGGATAGTAATAGCTTCCAGTAGTGATATGGATTCCCAGACTAAAACCAACAAGAGAAAATAAAACAAAGAGTCATTTCAGCAAAAAGAAGTGAGAAAAAACGTGAAACACCTCGAAAAATGCTGGGAGCACCAGAAACGCAGATGGGGTCTCCTGGTCCGCGGAAAAAAAAGAGGAAACAAAGAGCGAATGGCGACGTGGGATCCGCAAAAGAGAGCTTGTCAAAATCGTCTGCTAGTGAATTGAGAGAATTGGTGTAACCGTAACCTTTTAAGCTCTGAGCGGACCTCCGGTTTTCACATCTAAGACTTCAGTGTACTGAGTGCATTCCCTGAGCTTCTTGGACAGGAGCAAAGCCATAGAAGGCACCCGCAAACTCATAGGTGACTGGCCGACTATGTTGGTAAGTCCACAGACAACTTGGCATTTTTGGTGACTGCTGGTGTATGGCTTGCAACTGGGCCACTGTGTTCCTCCCTGCTGATTCTTTGCTCTCGACTGTCTATACTCCGACATGTCCTGTACCTCAAGGGTGGTATATCGGACAGATCGCGTATCCTATGTTTGTCAGGGCCCGCAAAGAGGGGACCCGGACCCCCTGGCAATGGTCCCAAAAGAAACCCCATGAACCCCTAATAGACCCTATGAGTCGCTATTAGCCCCTATTCGGATTGGGGAGCCCTCAACAACCATAGGAGTGTAGGTCAATTGCCTGAGTCTCTCGTACTGGGCTTGCTTTGACGCATCCCCTGCCACCTTCGTACCTACGGAGGTGCTTTCTCCGCTTTTGTCCCCTGAGATGTTGTTATCAGAGCTCTCACCCCATCTCAGCCCATCTGTTGAAAAACAAAAAACAGCACATTTCTCTCAATGCACTCAAACATAATGATTAACGGATCCCATTGACAAAGCATGCTGGAGAAAGATTCCCAGACCATCTGGAAGCGTAGGATTGCGAGAACCTGTCCCACATTCACGCTTCCTTGACTCATCCTCTTTCGCCAAACCCGGCAAGGAAGGTACGGAGCGATTGCTGTGATCGCTGGGCTGCCGCGGCTCAAGCGTCCACTTAGTGCTGCACCAAGGTGCAATCCAAGCGATCATCCCTTCTGTTGCTGGCCTCTCTGACTAAGACCTCCCAAACCTCTGCCTGCCTGCCTGCCTGCCTGCCTGCCTGCCTGCCTGCCTGCCTGCCTGCCTGCCTGCCTGCCTGCCTGCCTGCCTGCCTGCCTGCCTGCCTGCCTGCCTGCCTGCCTGCCTGCCTGCCTGCCTGCCTGCCTGCCTGCCTGCCTGCCTGCCTGCCTGCCTGCCTGCCTGCCTGCCTGCCTGCCTGCCTGCCTGCCTGTTTTCTGCCCTTGTCCAATTACTCAGGCACAATCTGCAAGCACTTCGATCCAAAGATAGCAACCAAACCATCTGCGGCCAGTTTGTCTGGCCCCACGGACTGGTTCAAGCGCAGCTCTCCGTAGCCTCTCTGCCACCCTGACTTGCGACCATTTCAATGTTGGCAAGTGGGTGGCACGAAGTCGATTCAAGAGCCACTTAAGGTACATTCGCGTCTGCAAAATGCATGATGCCATGCTCTTCCTTTGTCAGGGACTCAGCTCGGGGTGCCGCGTGCGCCAGGGGTCTTCGCGCCCGACAAACGGCCGCGACAACCTGCTCCAGCGCGAGCAAGCATCCCTCTGGGGCTGACAGCATGGGCCCAGAACACCGCGGCACCTCGCGGCGAGCCCGCCAAGCGGCCCAAAGCTATTGGACGAACGCCCAGCCACCTCCTAAACTTCCGCCCAGATGCTCTTATGCAATGACTCCTGATCAACTAATTGAGGCTCTGATCGGGCTCTGATCGGTCTCTGCCTCCCAGCCTGATTCCTGCCCTTGTCCAAGTAATTACTCAGGTAAAAACTGCAAGCACTTCCAAAGATGGCAACCAAACAATCTGCGGCCAGCTTGTCTGGCCCCACGGACTGGTTCAAGCGCAGCTCTCCGTAGCCTCTCTGCCACCCTGACTTGCGACCATTTCAATGTTGGCAAGTGGGTGGCACGAAGTCGATTCAAGAGCCACTTAAGGTACATTCGCGTCTGCAAAATGCATGATGCCATGCTCTTCCTTTGTCAGGGACTCAGCTCGGGGTGCCGTGTGCGCCAGGGGTCTTTGCGCCCGAAAACGGCCGCGACAACCTGCTCCAGCGCGAGCAAGCATCCCTCTGGGGCTGACAGCATGGGCCCAGAACACCGCGGCACCTCGCGGCGAGACCGCCAAGCGGCCCAAAGCTATTGGACGAACGACCAGCCACCTCCTAAACTTCCGCCCAGATGCTCTTATGCAATGACTCCTGATCAACTAATTGAGGCTCTGATCGGGCTCTGATCGGTCTCTGCCTCCCAGCCTGATTCCTGCCCTTGTCCAAGTAATTACTCAGGTAAAAACTGCAAGCACTTCCAAAGATGGCAACCAAACAATCTGCAACCAGCTTGTCTGGCACCACGGACTGGTTCAAGCGCAGCTCTCCGTAGCCTCTCTGCCACTCTGACTTGCCACCGTTCCAATGTTGGCAAGTAGGTGGCACGAAGTCGATTCAAGAGCAACTTACGGTACAAACACGTCTGCAAACTGCATGATGCCATGCTCTTCCTTTGTCAAGGACTCAGCTCGGGGTGCCGTGTGCGCCAGGGGTCTTCGCGCCCGACAAACGGCCGCGACAACCTGCTCCAGCGCGAGCAAGCATCCCTCTGGGGCTGACAGCATGGGCCCAGAACACCGCGGCACCTCGCGGCGAGCCCGCCAAGCGGCCCAAAGCTATTGGACGAACGACCAGCCACCTCCTAAACTTCCGCCCAGATGCTCGTATGCAATGACTCCTGATCAACTAATCGAGGCTCTGATCGGGCTCTGATCGGTCTCTGCCTCCCAGCCTGATTCCTGCCCTTGTCCAAGTAATTACTCAGGTAAAAACTGCAAGCGCTTCCAAAGATGCCGACCAAACAATCTGCGGCCAGTTTGTCTGGCCCCACGGACTGGTTCAAGCGCAGCTCTCCGTAGCCTCTCTGCCACCCTGACTTGCGACCATTTCAATGTTGGCAAGTAGGTGGCACGAAGTCGATTCAAGAGCCACTCAAGGTACATTCGCGTCTGCAAAATGCCTTCCTTTGTCAGTGTGCGCCAGGGGTCTTCGCGCCCGACTAACGGCCGCGACAACCTGCTCCAGCGCGAGCAAGCATCCCTCTGGGGCTGACAGCATGGGCCCAGAACACCGCGGCACCTCGCGGCGAGCCCGCCAAGCGGCCCAAAGCTATTGGACGAACGACCAGACACCTCCTAAATTTCCGCTCAGATGCTCGTATGCAATGACTCCTGATCAACTAATTGAGGCTCTGATCGGGCTCTGATCGGTCTCTGCCTCCGCCTGATTCCTGCCCTTGTCCAAGTAATTACTCAGGTAAAAACTGCAAGCACTTCCAAAGATGGCAACCAAACAATCTGCAACCAGTTTGTCTGGCCCCACGGACTGGTTCAAGCGCAGCTCTCCGTAGCCTCTCAGCCACCCTGACTTGCGACCATTTCAATGTTGGCAAGTAGGTGGCACGAAGTCGATTCAAGAGCCACTTAAGGTCCATTCGCGTCTGCAAAATGCCTTCCTTTGTCAGGGACTCAGCTCGGGGTGCCGTGTGCGCCAGGGGTCTTCGCGCCTGACAAACGGCCGCGACAACCTGCTCCAGCGCAAGCAAGCATCCCTCTGGGGCTGACAGCATGGGCCCAGAACACCGCGGCACCTTGCGGCGAGCCCGCCAAGCGGCCCAAAGCCAATTAATGGCAACTGCCTGCCTGCCAGGTTTCAAAGACTCCTGCAACAAGCCTCCACTGAAATTCCAGAGCACAAACATTCTTCTGACGTGTGCGAAGATCAGGACAATAGCAGACGCAATCACACGTAGTCTCTCCCGGGACAACTAGGAAACGGCTGCCGATTCTCACGCCACGGGTCATTCAATGCAAGCCTTTACCTCGCTTCTTCATTCATGCTTCATGAACATGACCATACAAGCTTCAAATCTTGAGACGCAAAACACCTTTTGCGTTCCAGGCCACGTCAACAGACAGTGGCATCCAAGCTCTTCACAAAACACGATCACGCTTTGAATCGATCCGAAGGGGAAGTTTGCCCTTGACCGAGAATTCACACATTTCTGCACCACTTTGAAACCATGGGACACCACAATGATTCGGAATTTACATGGGAATCATCATTCCAGGGTTTCTTGGGTCGTGCGAAATGGATTTCGTCCATCCACAGTATGCCTCTTGTTTTCCAGCATCCTTCAACATTATTGGGGATCTGCTGGACAAACTCCATGCTCTTTCCATTGCCACTTCTTTCCGGATGTGTCGGCTGGGCACACACATGATATCTCCTTCTGATTACCTTCAGCGCCGGCCCTGCTGCATTCAACCATATTCAATCCAGGTAGACCTTAGGTCCTTTGCTGCACCAGCCCAGTCCCATAGAATGCTGAGGCAAGCGCAAGAAAAAGGAATGGCAGCAATGCTAGCAGCGCAATGTTGAACAGGACCTGGCCAGAAGGCTGTCTGATAGCTGACCCCGTTTTTTTGGCTCTGGTTGCAAAATGGACTCAGTCAGACGAATTGATGGAACTTATATTATATGATGTCATGCAATTGGAGGGTCGGGCATCTTTCAACATTTGGGCAAAGGTCAGGGGGGTTCAGCAAACTGACACATCTGGGTAGTGGACGCCTGCTCTCAGAAAACTCGCCGTTTGCTCTGCCTCGAAGGCTTCCGGAAGACCGACATTGCCACACAGTTCAGGTGAAACCGCTGGCAGCATCCAACAGGGTCCATTCATCTTGCAATACCAACAGGGTTCACAATACCAACAGGGTTCACAATAGCAAGTTGACGACTCTTGCATTCTATGGGCGGTGCTCGGAAACCTCCACTCTGCTCACATGCCTGTTGCATTGCATTGTGGTACGATTGCTCATGTGCAAATTGTCCTGAAGCACTTGTACCACCCAGCCAAACGCCTCGCCGCAAAGCAGCTGCGTTTTTTGCTCGTAAAGCTCGCCACTCCTGCCATTGCCAGGGCGGAAGGCAAGAAGCAAACCGCTCTGAAACGTGGGGCGCGCTGTCTCCCCGCGCAAGATTGGTATCAGCAAACCAATGCAAATAAAAACTCAAGGCTCAATGCCAGACACTTGGGAGGCGAAAAAATGACAAACAGCGGAGCATGGAGAAATGTCATTGCTGGCCTAAAGCGACAAACAATACACTATGTTGCACTAAATGCACTTTCTGCTCACACTTGCTGGCATCTCACGTTCCAGCAGGCCATCACTTTTTTTGGAAGGAAGCAACAGCATGTCGTCCTTGTTATGTGTACAAAGTCAAAGGGCTAGAATCCGTGATTCCAAACAACAAACAATCAAACAAGCAAACAAACAGACAAACAAACACACAAACACACAAACAGAACGAACGAACAAACAAACAAACAAACAAACAAACAAACAAACAAACAAACAGTCAAGCAAGCAAACAAGCAAACAAGCAAGTAAGAAAGCAAGCAAGCAAGCAAGCAAGCAAGCAAACAACCAAAGAAGGAAAGAAAGAAAGAAAGAAAGAAAGAAAGAAAGAAAGAAAGAAAGAAAGAAAGAAAGAAAGAAAGAAGGAAGGAAGGAAGGAAGGAAAGAAAGAAAAAAAGAAAGAAAGAAAGAACGAAAAGACACAAACACAAACACAAACAAACAAACAAACAAAAACATCACAGCAAGCAAGCAAGCAAGCAAGCCAGCCAGCCAACCAGCAAGCAAGTAACATAAACTCCTGCATATGTTGACCGGCCCGGGGAAAGGTGTGGCTCCATGTGGCTCCTCACACTCACAAATGTGGTTCGACTGATGATGGTGCCCTTTGCC